TGGTGCACTTGTCTATTAGAAATGCAGTCTTAGGGGTTGGGAAGATGGTTCAGTTAGTAAAACAAAGACCCAAGTTTGATCTCTAACACCCACATAAAATCCAGGCAATGGCAGACTCCTGTGACCCCAGTGCTGGGAAGATGGACACAGAGGGTCCTTGGGGTTTGCTCACCAGCCACTCTGTCAGCATAATGAGTTCCAGGTTAAATGGGTGACACTGTCTCAAAAAATAAGCTGAGCGTTACCAAGGAAAATGCCTGGTGTCGACTTATGGCCTCTATGTACGCATACACATATGAATTTGCACACATAGGTGTACACACACACACACACACATACACACTTTAAGCACTCTCTGGTTGAAAACTAACCACCTTTCTATGACATATTGTATCAATTGCTTGAATGATTTATGCACAATCAAATTTTACATGGCCTTTTAAAGTTAGTAACTCAATCTGGGGACAAATGGTAAGTTGGGAAGCACTGTCTGCTAAAACTCATCAGTTATTCTGTGATTCATGGGAAGCCACGGGGTAAAACACTCTCAGCAGACCAGACCAAAGTCTAAAGTGCTAAGAAGGGAACTACCTGTGTGGCCTGGTAGAGCCTTCAAGGAGGGGTAGCTTGTTTTCCTGGGGCTGCTTTCTAGAAGGAGGCTTTTAACCAACAGGAGGAACAGGCACAGTCTGGTTTTCTTCTGAGCACAGCTCTTTTAAAGCGGTGCCCACAGTCATTTCAATTCTGCCTACTAATGGTCCAAGCCTAGCGACTGGTCAGTAAGACAGTTTTGTAAACACAGCATGATGTCACCAGTCCAGGAGGATGGGTAGGAGATTAGGTCCCATTAAGTTTGCAGCTGTTTTAGACTTCCATTTTGCTTGTGTGGTGCTGAGGGTGGGGTGGGGTGTTGAACCCAGGGCTTTGCACATGCTAGGGCAAATAGTCTACCACTGAACCACATCCGTCAGACTGGCTTTTCATTTTTCTTCCTCTCTCTTTTTCTTTTCTCTTCTTTCCTTTACTTCTTTCTTCTCTTTGTTTCTTCCTTCTTCCCTTCCTTCCTCCCTTCCTTTTCCTCTTAGAATTACCCATTTAGCAGAGTTGAGATTGTCTTAAAGTTCTACACCCATTCCTCTACTCCCTTGTGGACAATTCCCTGGCAGAGAAGACTGAATTTTCTTGGCCCTTTAACTCTGGCCATATTAAACTGTTCTCACAAATAAAACAACCATAAACACAGAAGCAGCCCACTCAGTGTTCAGCAAGACTTACGTTTACCCACCCTGCTATCCTCAAAAAGGTAGTCCTCCCAAGAGCCTACAAGTAATAGAAGCAGAACCATTAACAGAAGTGGTTCAGCTCATAGTCTTGACTGTTCCAGCATGCACACGGGCCCTGACAAGCAATGTACTCCTGTGGACCCAGAAATCATTGCTTATTGAACAACCCAAATGGTATGGCTCCAGCAGACAGCCTTCAGGCATTGGCCTGTTCCTACCCAGCTCTGGATCTACAGATCCGAAGAAGCTGTGTATCAGCATGCTTGCTCGGGTATTTGAAGTGCTTGTCTCTGAGAAAGACAGACCAACTGAACTAGGGGTGGTTCAGAAGCTGCGTTGGCAGAATTACTATATTTTAAAGATCACAGTAATACCTGCCTCTAAAAGGTCTTGCATAGCAGAAATTAGTGAGCTGAAAATCGTGTTTCTTTTTACGTCTTGGCTAATCACAACAGGCCAGCTAGTGGAGGCTTAGTGCAGCCATGAATGGCTGAGGCTACAGAATTGAACATGGACACAGCCCCTGCCCTCCTGTTATATTCTAGTGGGAGGAGACAGACCACAAGCAAGGAAACACATTGAGAAGGCTGCTCTATGTTCAGGTGGGATCTGAATGATGAGAAGGGATCAGTGCTGAGTCTTTGTGGGAAGAAATCTCCAGAAATATGTTAGTTTGATTTGAAATGTCCCCTAAGAGCCCACAGGCTGATGCCTTTGTCCCCAGACCCTGATGATATGGGGTAGAGGAACTTTTGTGTGTGTGTGTGTATGTGTGTGTATGTATGTGTGTGTGTCTGTGTGTGTGTATGTGTGTGTATGTATGTGTGTGTGGTGTGTATGTATGTGTGTGTATGTATGTGTGTGTGTATGTGTGTGTGAGGGGGGAGGAGCATAGTAGGCATTGTTTACTAGGGATGTGGTTCGCTGGCTGTCGGGCTTCTGGTGGCTCCCTGGAGTCTCTTTCTTCCCTCAAGTCTAAATTCCTCCTACTACTTACTTTGTCTGCCTAGAAGTCCTGCCTGTACCTGCTTCATCTCTATTGGCTGATCAGTTTTTTATTGAATCAATCGGGTGCCTTAGGCAGGCAAGGTAAAACAGTAATAGTTCTTTACATAAACAAATAGAACACATCTTTACATAGGAAATATTCTGCAACATAAATAACTGCAACACATCTTTGCATAAATATTCTAGAACAACTTTCTGTTGTTCTGAGGAATATAGGAGTCGTTCGTGGATGGTCCTGTAGGATACAAGGGCAGAGTGCTAGAAAGATGTGCATCTTGGCCTATCCTAGCCTACTTTTCCTCACAATAACAAATTACTTTCTCTCAAGCCCAGTCTTTTCCAGCCCTGTGCTACAGCCCAAGGCCCTCCTTCAGACTGCTGCCTCGACTATTTATCTTGTCCCGTGTGCCAGTCAGGGTCTTCTTGATCTAAGTAACTGAGCAGCTGACCCCCAAAGCCTTGAACAACGAGCTTTCTGAGGCTATGGCATCTGAGGAGCAGTCTAGAGCTATTGCATGGGGCCAGCAAAGGCTAATTTAGCCATTCAGTGACATTTGGGTCCCAGGTTACTCTTTCTTCATGCTTTTGTCTCCTGACTGAGATGTCCTGTCACAGATCTAAGCAGGTCTTAAACTGGAGGATGCCAAGGCAAGAGAGAGTAAGGAAAAGATTTCTTATGGTTGGCATGAGGACAGGCTTCCTATTAGATCAGTGAATCACAAAGAATGATCTGTGGCACCCAAAAATCCCCCAAAGGGAATCTGAGGTCAGAGCTACTTCTGTTATTACACTAAGGCATTTGCCTGTCTCACTTCATCTTAGTACACAATGGGGTGTTCCAGATGACACCAGAAACAGTGTCACAGATGGAATGTAGAAACAACTTGGAAATCTGTATCCCTCCTTCTGTCTTTGCATGTAAAGATACATGCAAAATTTTAAATACCATTAAATTTTAAAGCAATATAGATTTTCATTAAAATCTGTTTATGTTGACATTGATGTTTAAGGTATTTTTATTATTATTTCCAAAGTATGGTATTTATCCGCAGATGTGACCTATACAAAGGAAAGCTTTGGGACACCTTGGCACTTTAGTGTGAGAAGCAAGTCCTGAGACACAAAGGCTGAATACCTCTCATTCTTCCAGATAGGTTGAACTGACTGACTTAGCTAGCCCAGGAGTGAGTGTTCATTTCATTGGTAGAATGAAACGGTATAGATGGAATCTTAATTGCTGTTTCAAAGAACATATTCATATTAAGATGTTTTCCTGAGAAAGGAAAAAGAGTAACCTTTTGGAGAGTGGACAAAGGGACTTTCTAAATGCCCCTTGGGTGCAGAGGAGCAACCACACCCCATTAACCGGCTGGCTTGGGAATCAAAATACTCATTCTCGGTAATTAGTTTCTTACTAGTTTCAGCCCTGCATCCCAAAGCATCTTTATGACAATGGGTCCTTTCTGTTTCTGGCTGTCATCCATCTGTACTCAACAGCTAGTCCGTCTCCTTGTATCCATCTCTCATTTCTTCATCTTTCATCTGGGATTGTGGGTATGTGTAGTCCCCATTTCTCTCTCTTGTTCTTTGGTGGCAGTGGAATTCATACTTTTCTCTCTCTTTTCGCTGTTTTGGCCTCTAACTGCTCTCAGGAGCCACTTAAAAGCCTGAAACCCGTTTTCCTCCTCCTTGGTAAACCCCTCATCAGAACCCCACGACCTCCCCCCTTACTGTGATCTCTCCATCTAAACTCTCCCTTTCCTTGGGGAATTTTAGGCAGACGTCATAGGGAGGAGCAGGCAGACTTGGCCTTGTGCTTGCTGTTCCTATGTTTTCTTTGCACTCACCGTGTGGGCCTGGGAAGGTTGTTTATTTCCCCCTCCCACCAATTTGCAGTCCACAGGGGCCATTTCTTAGTTTTCCCCGTCCGTTGCAGCTGTCTCCTCCCTAGGCCCGTTTCTTCGCCCTAGTTTTATTCACTCTGCTTTACTCATATGACCCAGGCTAACCTCGAGCTCCCAATGCAGTGGAAGATGACCTTGAACATTGTTGGGTCAGAGACGTGCACCCTCCCGCGCGCGCGTGTCGTGTGTGTGGTCCTGAGGGCTGGGCTCAAGGACACTACACCCCGGCCCTAGCTTTGCACGGACTTCAGTATCACTGGCCACTACCTCCCTTCTCCAGGACCTGACCTAATTTTGGGAGCCCTCGGCGTCTCTGCACTCTGGCGAGAGCCCCCTCCTGCTCCTAGAGGAGCGTTGGGGTGCAGGGGGCCTCGGAGGCCGGGGCTCTGGGGCGCTAGGACCCTCCCTCCATCCGTGCATCCCTCCCTCCCTCCCTCCATCCCTCCGTCCCCTGCCCCCGGGGAGGGCTGGGGGCGGGGAGCGGCGGCCGGGTGAACCCGGGCGGAGTAACAGGTGCGGCGGCCGCAGCTGCGCCGGGGAGAGCGGCTCGCCGTTTGCTCGGGGTGTTCCGAGGCTTGTCCTCTCCGGACCAATGCGGGCCGCGGTTGTTCGTCGCCTGGCAACCGGCGGAGCCAATGGGCGGCGCCAGCGCGGGGCGGGGTGGGATGGGCGTCCGCCGCGGGGGGCGGGCGGAAGGCTGCGCGGAGCTGCGGGCGGGCGCGCGGGCGGGGAGCCGCTGCGGGCCCCGCGGGCTGCGGGAGGCGCGAGGCGCTCCGGGTGCCGGGGCCGTGACGGCGAGCGGCGCGCGGGATTGTGACGCGCAGCCGGGGAGGCCACCGGGCCGGCCGCGGGCGCAGCCACCGGCGCCGGCTCTGGGCGGGCTCGGCGCGGCCGTTGCGGCGGTTGGAGAGCGTTTTCTGCTGCCCGCCGCCTGCAGCGGGAGGTGCGAGGTAGGTCCTGGGGGCCCCGCGCGCCCTTGCGGGCTGTGACGCGGCCGCGGGTGGGGTCCCCTGGGCGCGCGGGCTCGGCGATTTCCCAGCCGCGGCCCCAGCGCTTGGCGAGTGGTCCGCGGCCGCTGCAGGGGACGCTCGCTTCGTAGGGGTCCAACCCCGCGTTTAGGGGAAGAACTTACATCATCGCGCCGGTGGGCTTGCTTGAGAAATTATTTGGCCTCCGATTTCCCAGTGCAGCTGCAGGACAGTGGAAGGCGAGCTCAGGTCAGCATGTGTTTATTGCTCTTGGTGCCGATCGCCGGGTTATGCAAGTCACCTGGGCCCAGGAAATAAAACTTGCCAAGTAATTCCCCATCAACACCAGTAGAGGAATCTGAACATTAAAGTCCCCGGTTCAGGCTCCTTAGTCCTGAGTGTCAGACTGAGGACTGGGAAGGCCGATGCAGTGTGAGAACTGGGATTTCCTAAGAGTCTAGACAGCATGGAAGGTGGGTGGGTGAGAGCCGCCTGGATTTGGGATGTGCTTCCATTCAGATTAGAGTCCAAGCCTGGAATTAGATGATAGCAGTGCTGCTGCGCAGCCCTCAAGGCTCTGAAAGAAAATCCGTCTAGTCCACGATTTGATCTTGAACTGGAAAGGTGACACATGTACGAAGCTGGATAAACTTTGAAAAGATCTGGATTAGAAACATGCTGTCTTGAAATTTAAAACTGAGGCAGATTCGTAAAACTTGGGTCTAGGTAAAACTTCATCCTCCCAGTTTCTTTACTCCCAGAGACCTCGGGGGCCCAGGGAGCTTACAGGGTTGTTTCAAACTAAACTAGTCGGAAAAGCTGTGATCTCATTTGGCACTTGGTCCCGCCTGGTGTGCCTGAAGGTTCCCCATACAAAATGGTTCTCTGAGCGGATTAGGAATGGATAGAATTCAAGCCAGGGCTTTTTTGGTGACTGGTGGGGCCTCTCCAGCTTAGTCATTTTACACCCTTCTGTCCCTTCCCATTCTCCGCCTGTACAGGGAAGATAATAAGACCCAGGGATTAAGTAACCGAGTTAAGCAGCTTGAAGATGAGTGGAGAGACTCGGTTATTGTAGATGAGATGTGGAGCTCTCCCCAAAAGGCAGTGATCCTTGCGATACGACTATTTGAAGTGCTTAGCATCCTGGCCTTGCTGAGGCAGGCATATACGAACAAAGTGGGAAAGTTAACTGTTTTCTTTTTTTAAAACAGAGGCCTCAAACCCAGCCCGTTCATAAAACCGGACAAACCTGCTCTTTGGCCCAAACTGCCTAAGATACAGATTCTGTGAAAGTGTCCTTGTTTAGTATTCATCTTTGGAGAAAGACTAGAAAACACCTTTCCACAGTGATTTGAATCCATTTCATGTTTAAATTGGAACAGTAAGCCTAGTGTGGCTTTTATCCCAGCTATACAGGAGCTGAGGCAGGAGGATAACTTGAGTTTAGGAGTGGAACACCATACTGATTCTGTTTAAAATCAACCCCCCCCCCTTCGTTCTAACTGTCCTCACCCATCCCTTGGGGAGCCAGACCCAGGGGCAAGTGTTGTGTTGTTGAGTAATGGGGTCACATGCTTCTTTATTTTGAAGCTGGGTTGCTTTCCCACTCCGCCTCCCTGGTATTTGGGATTTAGGCTGGGCTCAGTGGGCCCAGCTTCAGATGCAGTTTTAGTGATAGCTTCTATGTCTGTACAATAGCTGTGAACACCACTTGTTGACATGGCCATTTGTTCATAACAAGAGGCTGTGTGAGTTCTGTGTCTGGGTAATTACGGTTAGCTGGTAATGAGCATATATCTTATCTCAAATTCATGTGCTTATGGGATAAGTCAATAAAGAAATACGTCATCCATCTCATTATTAGTAACGGAAAAACCTAGATTCATACCATTTGATGCTGGTCCCGTATCTTGTATAGTGTAGGAGCAGATTTATTGTGTGTTAATAAGTATATTCTTTCAATAAACATTTCTTATCAGGTACTCAGCTGCTACTCGCCAGGTGTAAGGCTAGAGAAGATGCATTGCCCTGAATGTTTTGTACTTGGGGAGATGTATGTGAGGAGAAGGAGACGAATGGAAACATGGGTGGGCTTTAGAAAAGAAGGCATTCCAGATGTGTCCTGACAGGTACTCACCAAGCACCTGGTGCCTTCTGCCCAAAGCAGGTGCAGGTCACAGGTGGCTGAGGGCCTTCAGGTGGCTGCGTAGTTGCCTTAGTAATAACAGTCAAGAGCAGTTCTGTGAACCTTGACCAGAAGGCAATAAGGAATATCTAAACCGTTTTATTGGGGGATTATGTTGCTTCTGACACAGTAGAGTATGCCCACCCAAGTCAGTAATTGTCACAGTTCATGGGGCTGTAGACTTGGACAGTTCAGGTACTGCCTGAAAGCTGCTGCTTTTCAGCAGGCACTGTGTCTGAGCCCACAGAATCTGTAGAAGCAGCAACAGTCCCTTGCAAGCAGGTGGGCTTGCCCGTCACAAAAACACGGGACTTTATTATGGAAGCTTGGGCTTGTCTCACCTAGCTCTGAAAACTTAAATTGATTTATATTTTTTATTAATCTGTGTTCTAACACATGGCTTTTACGTCTATTCCATTCTATGTGTCTTAACTCACTCTGCTGGCCTCTCTCCTGAGCATGGGTTCCTCCCTATGACTTCCTCTCTCTCTGCCTGGGAGTCCCGCCCATCCTCTCCTGCCTAGCAACTGGACATTGAGCTTTTTACTATGCCAATCACAGCAACACATCTTCACATAGAATACAGATATCCCACAACACATGTCTTGTTGAATTGTGTTGTGTGGCCAGGGCTGGGTGGTAGAGCTCCAATGGTGGTGAAGATGCAGCCCACGGTGGGCAGTGGTGCAGTACAGGGCAGATGCAGCCCACGGTGGGCAGTGGTGCAGTACAGGGTAGAGCCTGAGCGCTGGGCTGGGTGGCCCAAACATGTCAGGAGGAACAGTGTGGGATTCAGAGATGAGAACAAGTTCTTAATGGAAGTGAAGCAGAATTGTCGATTACAGTTCTGAAGGGCTGCGCATGCCTCTCCTCCATCTTTTCCCCAGTGAGAGGCTGCGTTGCGGCACTGCTGGTCCTCTGCACTGCTGGTCCTCCCCCCGCACTGCTGGTCCTCCCTCCGCACTGCCGGTCCTCCCTCCGCACTGCCGGTCCTCCCCCCGCACTGCCGGTCCTCCCCCCCGCACTGCCGGTCCTCCCTCCGCACTGCCGGTCCTTCCCCCGCCCTGCCGGTCCTTCCCCCGCCCTGCTGTTCCTCCCCCCGCCCTGCCGGTCCTCCCTCCGCACTCCTGTCCTCCCCCTGCACTGCTGATCCTCCCTCTGCCCTGCTGATCCTCCCTCTGCACTCCTGTCCTCCCTCCGCACTGCTGGTCCTCCCTCCGCACTGCTGGTCCTCCCTCCGCACTGCTGGTCCTCCCTTTGCACTGCTGGTCCTCCCTCTGCACTGCTGGTCCTCCCTCTGCACTGCTGGTCCTCCCCCCGCACTGCCGGTCCTCTCCCGCACTGCCGGTCCTCTCCCCGCACTGCCGGTCCTCCCCCTGCACTGCTGGTCCTCCCTCTGCACTGCTGGTCCTCCCTCCGCCCTGCTGGTCCTCCCTCTGCTTCTCATGGAGGAGGAGGGGTGTAACACTGGCCGACTCCATGGGGCTGTGCTGATTGCACAAGTGTGTCCTGGTAAAACCCACTAAAGTAGTGTTCATCTGGGACACTTTCTGTGTGAAAAGTGTAATTAGCCAGGCCTGGTGACATATGTAATATCCTTGCAAGCTGGAGACCGAGGAAGAAGGATTCCAAGTTCAAGGCCACCCTGGGCTACTAGGTAATCCCTAGTACAAAAACAAAACAAACAAACTAAAGCAAAAATCTAAATGTGACTCACACAAAATCCTAAATTTAGATGAGGTTTTTGATATCTTTGTTTGTTTGTTTGCTTGTTTGTTTGTAACTCGATTGTGTAGTTCTTATGCGTGAACTTTGTGGATGATGTGTGTTTCGCATTGTCAAAGGCTGGGTGGGTCTTATGCTTGACTTCACTCTGCATTGAACACTGTAGGCATCTCTGTGTCCTGCCCGATCTTGTCTCTACAAGTCTCATTAACCTCCTTCCTCTGTTCCAAGCGCACTTTGTCTAGCACCAAAAAGAGTCTGTTACTTGAGAGAATGTTCTTTCCGCCCAACTTACTGCATATTTATTTTCCGTCCATTTTTCACCATTGTGACCATAAACTACTTCACTTCCCATGTCTTTCTTGATAATATTTTCTTTATAAAAGTATGTGTACTTGTGTAATGAAAATTGGGCCTTAGCATGGTGGTTCACACCTTTAATCCTAGCACTCAGAAGACATAGGCAGGTGGGTCTCTGTGAGCTTGAGGCTAGCCTGGTCTACATAGTGAGCTCCAGGACAACCAGGGCTACATAGAGAAGCCCTGTTTCAAACAAATAAATTAAAAAAAAAAAAAAAAGGTACTTTAGAATTTTCTTATTTAGTTCCTGGAATACAGTGATCACTAAAAAAGTATTTTTGTGTCAGGTTGCTAAAAATAGAACTTACTTAGAAATATTAAGTTTGGAGGAAATCTGCAAAATGTTGCTCTAAAAGAATTCCAGTCCTTTAATAGTCTCATGGTTTCGAGATGATCAGAACCCTGAGTTTACAGCACCTTGAGTGTGCTGTGACTATCTCTCTTTGTGGGATCCATAATAAGGAGGTGAGACGACCATCTAAGAAATGGTCAGCAAGTAGCCATATTATTGTGAGGGAGAGATGGGCTCGGGGAATCTCCACCATTCCCCCAGAATGCTTGCTAGTTAGGAGGGGGCCAGGATCCCGGAGTCCTAGAAGTTGTACCTAGTTGGGTTTTTCCCTTCCGGGCTTAGAGCTAGCTGAAGATAGAGTATCTCTTAGTTTCATCCATCGCTGCTTTCCTATGGCCATCTAAGGAGTGAGGGACT